TGCTCTGACGGACGTCATGCAGTAAAAGAGGTTGAACTGTAATAATATCTTATTTCAGGGAAAAATATATTTCCCAAAATTAGATTAAACTACTTTAGTTACTTTCTATATACTTTAAATATTCTATAATATTTATACTTTATATTCTCCAATCTTAAAATATATTAGAATCAACAAATATAGCATATTCTCTATCATATATTTCAAGTTATAAACTTCTTTCTATATATAGTACTATTTATTCTTATAAATAGACAATATAGCAAAGACCTTTCTTATTCAATAATACTATCTCAAATACAATATCTTTGTGCAATCTAGGTTCCATATGCTCTGATAGGTTCTGTATTGTTAGTTATACCTCCTTTGCAGACTTCTCAGATTAATAATGTGTTCAATATCATGACTGGTCTCTACACAGTCTCATTCCTAATACCAGCGGGTCAAGTTAAAGATCGATATAGGCCATGAGACGCATCCCTGGCCTGAGCGGTGGATGTTTTCTCACTGTACATAGTGCAACTCCAAGGTCCTTTCCGAGTACATTCCACATGACCCCAGCCATCCCTATGACCGTCTCAGCACATGGCCTGGTGGCTCCTGGAAATAGTTCAAACCAGTCTGCTGTGTGTCATGAATCCCACCATCACTTTTCTGCATTTACTCTTACCATCCCCAACTGTACAACTTCCTCTGCCTCTAACATCTCACACCCTCACCTTCAAGTAAGTCTAGCATTTCAGCTAGCCCCCGTCACAATGTCATTCCCACCGCGTAAATCTCGCAATGACAAGAACCCCCTGCCGCCTCTTTGTCTGCCGATGCCGATGAGGAGCAAGGACCCTCTCCCTGTATCTTCACCCACGAGTGTCCCAGTATCTTCACCCACGAGTGTCCCAGTAGTGCTCCAAATCAGAGAAAAACCACACTCCACACTGCCGCCTACATGCCTTCCAGGTCGCGTAACCACAAACACTCAGACCGCGCCTCAGGTAAGTGCTCTATCAACTCAGCCTATGTCACTACCATTGACGAAGGATGTTGTTGCACCAGCCGAAAACCCAGTTGAACCTGAAGTCCATGAGATGGCCTACCTTCCGTCAGCAAAGGAATGCCAAGGTAAATATTTTTATAACGGACAACTCCGTTCCATCGTTCCTAGTCCACCACCTCAGTCAACACATGAAGAATTGACTCCTGATTTTGTCAACCTCTTGACCACAAGCTTGCGCACGGAAATCGACAGGATGGATGCCAATCCCCAGGTTGCCCATTCCCGACCACCTGCCAATACCCTTACTAGTCGCTACCCGCAGACCTACCAGGAATACCACCGCGTGCAAGAGGAGATTAGACGTAATCATCCGTACACCAGACGAATTCCACGATGGGCACCCGATGAATATACACCCTTTCCAGTACAGGAAGCCTCTGTTGAGACACCACAGCCTTTGCCCGCGAGCACTTCCCACACAATCGCACATAACGCTGAAGAGGCCCGCCCAAAGCCCACTAGTGCCAGGATCCGTGCCCGCGCCATCCCGAAGGGCACTCCTACCTGGAATGTCTTTCGCTGTGACAAACCTGGATGTAATTTCCGGCACCTCAGGTGCGCTTCCCTGACCCAACACGTTATCCAATGCCGAGACCACGATGCTAGTCAAGTCTCTGTATCATGGGTTGGCGATCCTAACGCTGTCCTCCCACCTGGCTTCAGGTCTGGCGAACCAGTTTACCAGCGGTTTACCCGCTGCCAGGCCGAAAAACCACCCCGCCGCATCACGAGCAAAGATGTAACACCAAACACACAGTAAGCATCGGTAGTGCGTGAGGCCCCTGAAGCCGTGGCTTAACCCACGAGCGAGTTCCCTGGGATTCGTTGCGATACATGTTAGAATAGGTACTTTTATTTCGTCACTGCCATCCAACCATATCAATCGCAGGACGCACGTTTTTGCTGTGCTCATTAGAGCTGCCTGTGAACTATCTGGCTAGACCGGAATTATTATATTTTACCATTGAAGTCTAAATCTCCATTAAGAATACGTGTGAAAATCTCGAAAGGGTGTTGGTAGAGCATTCAGTGCCATCTAGACGATCTCGCAACTGGTAGTGAAAACCAGTGTTCTCAACGGGCCATGGCCTGAATAGCCTGAACCACGGCCTGAATAGCCTGGACCATGGCCTGAATGCCTGGATAGCCTGAATAGCCTGGACGGCCTGATTACGGCCTGAATAGCCTGGGCCCGCCGGAAGCCGGTCCAGACTATTCGGGCCTTCAGAGGTCTGGCCGGCTGAGAACACTGATGTTTGGCACGCTGGAATTCCCAACCCTGTAGCCATTAGCAGTTGCTGGCACTAGGGTAGAGTTACTTCAGATGAGTACAGTGGAAATCCTACGGACCTTTTACAGCTCTAGAGTTATGGCTATCGCAATTGTTGTTCCAAGGTTATGAGGTCGGATACGTTCAGCAAAGAAAGTTTCACACTAGATCTATAAGAAGAAGATCGAGAGAGACTTGTCTATATTTAACTGAACTGAAGTGAACGGATAAATGTCAGAGAGTGTGAGCTGTATAGTTCCAGGTAAGGCAATATACTTGATTTGACTTGCTAATATTAGGCCTGTGCACAAGACGTCTCGAGACAAGTCGGGGTATTCTGACCCATAGTCTAGTATATTCAATACTGTTACAGTAACAGTATTGATTCATAGGCCTGGGCACGAGCCGGCTCGCATACAGGCTCGAGCCGGGACGCGAAAATTGCAAGAGTGAATAAGTAACTGCGTACTCTACATATCTGTGTAGGTCATGGAAAATATGAAAGACGAAGAGATATGAACAATACGGATATAAACAGACATGGAAATAGGACAGAAACAATTTCAACCCTCATCGCCCAGCTAAAGTCCACAGCAGGACTGCAGTTTTGTAGCCACCGAGCAAATTATAGGGTACAACCATAGCGAGATACAGGTCATTTCATCAATTTTTGTAATTTCCTCCTCTTCTGTTGGTAGGCGTGGTTGGTTATGTCAGAAATTGAGCGATTGTAGTTGTAAATTCTGAAGGGAGGTAATGAAACTCCTGGACTGTCGCTGGAGGTTGTGTTATTGAGGTGAAAAAAAAAAGAGGAAAGGGTGGGAATGCAACGCATTTTGAAGATTTCCACTCCCCGGGTACCTTCGGTATTTCGCGGTCCGGACTCGTCGAGCTTGTGTAACCTTGGGCTCGAGCCCAAGTCTCGAGCCGGCTCGGCTCGTGCCCAGGCCTATCAATACACATTTTATATGGAACTATAGAGAAATAAAGACAGATATCATCACACAGCCCAAACAAGCAGAGGCATGAAAGATATAATATATAGTATTAATACGAATACTGATTTACTACAAAAGAAATTAAAAGAAAAGACCTATAGTTCGGTGGCAAAAAAAAACATACGCTGCATAAGATGCATTGAAGTATCATATGAAGTTCTCCAATATGCATCGTTTGGAACTCTTTATGCAGGGTAGGGTATGATTCTTTTTTTTTTTTTTTTTAAATACTCAGTACTCCTGTGCAATCCCAATAAGGGGACTATGAGGAGCCACCCGGAAACCCGGGTGGATTCAAGACAAGCAAGTTAATCTGCCAGGTCCACCGCGCGCGAAAAGCAGAAGAATAAATACAAAAGCCCCCATGCTGTCATTAACCGGCTGTATGCCAGATGACCTCGAGAGGCCTGACTGAGGCGTTCCCCGAACCGTGATGCGTGTAAAACAGTAAAAGTATAAATCAAAATGTGTCAACCAAAGGGGTATGATTCTTTTTTGGCCACCTTGCTGTACTACCATGCTACAGGAGAAAATATTAAAAAACTATCTTTCTGTAGCACAATCGTAATTCCAATGTTATCAGCCAAATGGGATCCCTGAGAGACCGAGCGATATACTAGAAATATTGCTGAGGTGTTCGCCAGGTTGGTGTTCATCAGGTAGGTAGGTGAATGGGCCAGTCGTTATCGTGATTGTCACTGATTGATGAATGAATGGGCCAGTCCAATTAGCTAAGTGGTCCATTTGTATTGCCGTTTTAGCTAGAACACTTCTCGGCGCCATATCGCATTGCCGGTTAATAACAGCACTGAGGCTCATTTTCCTATGATAGTTGAGGAGGACGGGTAGCTAGCTGAGCCTAGCTCTATCTCTATGCTACCCCGAAGGTTGGAGGCCTTGGGCGATCTTGGTTGCCAACGAGATGGCTGAGGAGGAGTCGCAATGGCCATGGCATGTTGTTCATGAATGCCCCACAGTGACTCTAGTAAGAATACTTTTTATACTTTCTTGCCTAGTTGATGTCTCTCCACAATGAGAATAAGGGGATTTTGATAATATTGCATAGCTGAGTAACGATGCTACAGTCACGGCTTGGTCGATGATGAAGTTGACTAGTTAATATTGTCGGTGTTGCCTGGGTTGTTGAGCTATTAAGCGACAAGTTCTTCCATTGTCTACGAGCTTGGGAACAGTTATCACACTTTGCATATAGTGTTGAACAGAAGGTGAGAATAATGTTCTGAACGGCTCTGAATGCAATGGGATTGGAGTGTTGGTTACAATGCAGTTAAAGATCCCTTGAGTCACAGGGGGTATTTCTTTCCTGAGTTTAGATGCAGACGGCAGTCAGGCCTCTTGGAGTCCTCTGACATCTAGCCGGTCAATGACAGCATGCCTACTTGAGCTCTTCTTTTGTTTATTAACTTCTTGTGGTGTATCTAGCGTCGGACCTGGCAGATTAACTTGCCTTGTCCCTGAATCCACCCGGTTTTCCTAGTGGCTCCTCATGATCTTACTGGGACCGAATTGGAGTAAGGAATTTTTTTTAAAAAGAAAAAGGTAAAAAGGGCAGTCTCATAGTGAGGGCCACAAATAGTGTGTGTCTTCTATCTAAGTCTAGCAGCATGAGCAAACATATCAAACTTCCACTTAGAAAGAACACAGTCATACAATACATGGGAGCATGGTTTAGAGGTATAACATCTCATTTGCAAGTTGACTTTGGTCAATGAGAAATTGAGAAGGTCTGGGGTTCGATTCCCCATTCTTCCATTTTTATGCAACTATACATATACCTTTTTAATTAAAGTGATGGGTCCTCCTGGACGGTACGAATATGTTCTGGTCCGTTGCGAAATCCAGTCCATTCCGGAATGCACCAGTCTATACCGGAATGGACTGGATTCCGCAACAGACCGGTCCATTACGGAATTAAAACTTTTAGTTTGTAAAAATTTTCTTCACGGTATCTAGATTATCGGTACGTTCAACGCAACACAACATACCTCTTCAATATAATCATACTCTTCAACGCAACATACTTTGCATATTGCAATATCCTACTAGAGAATTGGAGCGGCTTCCTTCTAGCATTGGACCATATTATCTTGAGTCTATCCCATCAACATGGCAAACTCAAAAGCCAAAGTCAGTACATGAAGTTGCCCGCCTTACATCTACTGGAACTGTGGTTCGCTGTAAATGCAAGGGCCAATGTGCAAACCGACGCTGCTAATGCAAAAAGGAAGGGCGTTTGTGTACTGCTTATTGCCATACTGGCTTACGGAATCATTCATGTTCTAATTCAGCCCAAGTATTGAGCGATGGATTAATTGAACAAGGAGAGGTTTGAACATGCAGAGGTTTGATGGAATAAGTGGAGGTTTGAGCATGTGGTGGTTTGGGCTTTTACATTATGTATAAAATTATAGACTCGGTTTCCTCTCAATTTGCCTTTATATATTGCCCAGAGTGCACATATTTGCAATTCCGCAACGGACCAGAACATATATACACCATAGGATATTGCCTTCCTCGTTCATAAACCCAGAGGAGTAAGCACTCAAGCCATGCATCCTAACAATTAGAATATATTTTTCAAGCCCTTAATCACATAGTTGAGCAATATATGTTGCGGTTTCCTCAGAGAGGCTCAAGTGGGTACTAGACTTTGTGGGATAGAACTTGTATGTATATATCAAGATAAGCATAAATGAAATCAAAGTTTATATACCTCCTAAACTCATCTGTGTTTGATGAAGTTTGACTTCTCTTAAATCTGAGCTTAAGATCCATATAACTTTTCCTAGCAGACTAGAAGATGCGTATAGAGCTTGTTTTCTTATTCTCTATCAGGGTGGCTCACCTCTATTCTGATAGCAAAATCATACTGCTAACGGTAATACTTCTATCGCTCCCTGGAACAAGAAAAAAATAGGAATTTGCATCACGACTTACGGAAGAAGCTTTGATATATTCTCTCGCTTTGTTTTTTTTTTGCCATATACATAGTTCTCCTAGTGCAATGCATAGAGAGCCCCATGCTCCTGTTCCCCATATCCGCCACTTATTCCTCCACAATGTGCTCTTTTGAAGCTCTCATTACCCGGTTCTACAGTGTATGTTCTCTCCGCTAGGAGTAGAAATACCTCTATATTTTGGTCCCTTCGACAGGAGAGCTCATCAAGAAACTGTGTTGCCTAATGGTTGCCAACATTGTTACGCATGAGATCATAGCGGTGATTAGCAGAATACTAACAAAAAATATCGTGGGAAAAATGGGTGTGGATGACAGCAGGTTTAGTACTAATGGGAATGTACAAAGACCTGATGAAAATCTCAGAGAAAAGCAAGGTATCATGGAGTTTATCATCACGGAACGAATCATCGAAGCTATCATCGGAATTGCAGCGACAGCAGAATAAGTTATCGGATTATCGGAGCACATAGTTCTCCTGGTGCGATGCATAGAGAGCCCCATGCTCCTGTTCCCCATCCCCGCCACTTATTCCTCCACGATGTGCTCTTTTGAAGCTCTCATTACCCGGTCCCACAGTGTAAGTTCTCTCCGCTAGGAGAAGAAATACCTCTATATTTTGGTCCCTTCGACCGGAAAGCTCGGAGCATTGGATGGAGCAATATGGTAGGAAAAAGGACACCGTTGGACAGGCATACTCGTACGTATTCCTACACATCTGCCTCTAGAAGATGGCACCGACCCCAATGAGTCCCATGGTACCTTGGTGAACTCGGTTGTTTGGAAGTAAAGGTCCTTGCTGAACTCGGTTGTTTGGAAGGGAAAGGATTCAGAGGAGGAGAAGGACCCACTAGAGGAAGACGTTAAGCTGGGATATAGACATCCACATGGAGGGAAGCTCCCACAGAGGGACACTCGCATGGAGGAAACCTCGGACTGGAACGCTCGCACTTGGAAGCTCGCACTGGGATTCTCACACTTGGAAGTTTGCACTGGGGAACGCTCGTACTAAGACACTCGCACTGGGAAGCTCACACTGGGAAACACTCGCACTTGGAAGCTCGCATATACTCGCACTAGGAAGCTCACACACGCTCGCAATGGGAAGCTCGCACTGGGACTCTCATACTTGGAAGCTCGCACTGGGACTCTCACACTTGGAAGCTCGCACTGGGAAACACTCCTCGCTCATGCTCGAATGGAGGGAAACTCGCACTGGGACGCTCGCACTGGGACGCTCGCACTGGAACGCTCTCACACGCTTGCACTGGGATGCTCGAATGGAGGGACGCTCGCACTGGGACGCTCGCACACGCTCGCACTGGGATGCTCGAATGGAGGGACGCTCGCACTGGGACCCTCGCACGGAGGGAAGCTTGCACACGCTCGTACTGGGAAGCTTCAGCAACACTCGTATACATAGAAGATTACAGCCCCAATGAGTCTCACGGTACCTTGCTCAGACATGCTTAGTCTGAAAGGGAAAGGATTCAGTGGTGGGGAACCGGCTATAGGAAAGGTTACGGCCCCAATGAGTCTCACGGTACCTTGCCTGGTTCGAAAGGGAAAGGATTCTGAGGAGAAGAACCGGCTGTATGAGAGAGGTTTCTTTTGCATTTTTTCTAGGGCTTTGGGTTTTCCGATTATTCAACCTCCGAACACAACACAGTGGTCAACAGAGTCGACAAATGTCTCATTATAGCTGCGGAAAAGGACCTTTTGGAATGGGGCGCTTCGAAAAACTCCAGGCTCGACTTCGGCACACACCACGGCACACATAACACACACATAAAGACTCTCGGCATCACCGTTGATAAGAACCTCGACTTCAAGAGGCACATCAAGGATAGGATAGACAAAGCCAAAACGGCCATGGACATCCTCTTACGCCTGGGTAACAGCAACAAAGGCATGTCTCCACGGTCACTCAGAGCGATGTACACAGGCCTCATTCGCCCTATCTCTCTATGGGGAGCAGAGCTATGGTCACAAATTGACAAGGGACGAGATTTCTATCTCTCTCAGATGGAAATTATGGAATATCGCGCCCTACGCAAAATTTGCGGGGGTTACCACGGGAGCTCCAAAGCGAAGCTCAACCTGATTGCTAATGTCGAACCGCTAGAGACTAAGCTTTCGGATCTCTCTGCTTGCTGGGTGGCACGAGCGGTGCGCACCGGCAACACACACATACCGTATTAATTCGCAACTAAGAAAGTACCACTCGGCAGGACAGTATTAGTGTATAAGACAGGGGTAAAACAGCCTAATTTTGGCCGAGATATCCGAATCGTGTTTAAGACAGCAAATTTTCCTTATAGGACAGTAGGGTAGGAATGTCAACGTTGACTGGCGCTGCCAGCTTCTTTCACTCATCACCATCACTTGTTACAATGTCAATTCCGCAGGCACCTCGTGCTGGACCCAGTAATATATCAATTCCACAGGCACCTCCTGACTGGCAACTACCTCCTAAGTCTGAAGACCAACTCGACCTGCCAACAGACAACGGAAGATGAAAGTTCCGACCTTGAGATTGTGGATGATGAGGAGGAAGCGGATGGAAGTGAAAATATGAGCAGGGAGATTACATTACTGAAGCAGAGGCCATGCATATGCTACAATTACGCTTGGAGAGGAGATCGTGTAAAAAGATATCAATTATGCTACTGTGTCGTTCCGGAATTTTTTTTTTCCCCCCCGGAAATTCTTTTATAAGAAAGTATCTAGTGTTTAAGCTAGTATCGCATATAAGACAGTAAATTTAAGGCCCCTCCGACCGCCCGTTTGTAAATAAGACAGCATTCTTAGTTGCAAATTAATACGGTAAGGGACCTAGCCATCACCCCCATCACAAGAGCCGCCACGGTAAGAGATTCGGTCATCAGAACACCCACCCCTAACAACCTCATTGCAAGGGCCTTCAGAGCCGCAACAGTTTTCGAACCCCAGAACCTCAGCTTCGGCGACTGCGACTTCCGGAAACCAAGCAGCCTCACACTCAACGTCCTATATGAACCTTCAGACCCATACTCAAAGGTCAAGGGTGGCTGGGCAGCCAAAATAGGAGGCCTACTGGACGAGGGCTGGCGGGTATGTTATACCGACGGCACAGGGAGACAAGGCCACTCTGCGTCAGCAATGGTATCGGAGGATAGGAGGGGAAACCCGACACTAAGTGCTCAGTCATATCTGGGCATGGAGGCCACAGTTGCCGATGGGGAAAGGGAGGCCATGGTCCTAGCCCTGAAGACACATAGAGACTCGTCCATGGTTGCAATACTTTCCGATTCGTCCCAGCCATCTCAACAGCCATGGAAATCTCACGAGGGAGGCCACCGAGGAGCGGCATTGAGATTGAACTAGGAAACCTTCTAGCTGAGCGGCATTCCAACCATCACGACACCTCGATATCCTGGGTTCGTTCCCACCTCGGAATCAAAGGGAACGAGGAGGCCGACAAGCTGGCCACTTTTGCATCTGCACGCGGGCAGTTCGTTGTCCAGGAACCAACCGTAACGGAAGGAGGAATAAGACAGGCATCCAACGCCATCCGCGCCAAAGCTAGAACAGCTCCGGGGTTCGGCATAAGACGGTGCGAGTGGAATCGCCATGCTTTATCGGCCTACACCTGGATTCGCACGGACAGGGGCCCCCAGAGGTATTGGCTTCACCAAATCGGCAAGGCAGATAACAGCTCCTGTCAGTGCGGGCATCACACGGAAAACGGGTTTCACGTCGTCTTCGAATGTCCATTATACCACACCCACAGGCGATACATAGGCGGGGCAAAGGA